CAAGGTCTTATAGTAATAATACAGTGGCCATTGTTAAATTGTATCATATTTTAATAGATGCAACATAGTCTCATTATGTAATCCATAAAAGCACAACTCTTTTTTGTTGTTTGTTTGGATTTTTGTTTGTTTGTTTGTTTTTTGTTTTTCAAGACAAGGTTTCTCTGTATAGCCCTGGCTGTCCTGGAACTCACTCTATAGACCAGGCTGGCCTTGAACTCAGAAATCTGCCTGCCTCTGCTGGGATTAAAGGCATGTACCACCACTACCCGGCCATAAAAGCACAACTGAAAATAAATAAAAATAGCCCATTATCCAATCACTCAAAGATAAATACTATATCCATTTTTGTGTTCCATAGCTAGGCATATTTATGTTCATTGTAAGTCTTTGCAGTTACTTTTCTTGTGAAAGTATATTCAAGCTATGAATGCTCTTTTATAATCGTTTGGCTTTTTATGCATCAGTATATTAACCCCCGTGCCATTCTACACTGAGTGACACCTAGTACAGATTATTTATTTTTTATGGTTTTTGTCATATTTCATAGAATCATTTTGAAATTTGAGAATATTCAAAGGACTGAAAAAGATGGTTTTAAAAAACATGAAATTTTGAGTTTGAACACATAAACATAATAGTCACAAACAGTTAAAGGCAACAGTAGTTCTTCCATGAAAAAGACTGAATTAAATGCACGTCCCTGCAGAACTGTCTTGGCAGATGGATTCGGCAACTTTTGGATTGACCCATACAGCCAAGCCAGTACCAGCTGCTGGGAGTTACATCAAAGTGGATTTCGGGTCAATAAATATAGAATGTTTCATGATCACAGATATCAAAAAGTAAAATAGAATAGATGCCAGGTGCAGAGCAGCATGCCTGTAATCTAGCACTCAGGAGGCTGATGAGTTCAAGATCAGCCTCAGACAGACAACAAGATCCTGCCACAAAAACGGGGCGGTGTGTGCACTGAATCTAGTTATTGAGAATATTAATGGTGCTTGAGATAACTAACAATATTAATAGTGCTTGAGATAATTTGCTGAAGAAAGTCCTACACCATATAAGAACTTGGACTAAAGGCCCCTTTCCATTTGAGGATTCAGATTCCAATGAAAAACTTAGTGCGGCAATTTCCTCCCAGTTTAGAAAATAAGTCCTTAGGAAATCAAATCTCCTATAGCAACCTATAGGAAGACCAGCAGTCTCAACTAACCTTGCTGAGACACTGAGCCACCAACCAGGCAGTATACACAAGCTGACAGAAGGCCCCAACACATAGACAGAAGACTGCCAGGTCTTGATTAAATGAGAGAAGATACACATAACCCTCAAGAAACTTAGGGCCCCAGGGAGTGGGGAGGTCTGGTGGGGTGGGGGCTAGGGGAGTGGGGACATCCTCTTGGAGACCGGAGTAGGGGGGCAGGGGGAGGAGGTATGGGATGTGGAACAGTCAGAAGGGGACTGGGAAGGGGATAAAGACTAGACTGTAAAAAAAATTAAAGAATAAAAATAAATAAATAAATAAATAAATAAATAAATAAATAAATAAATAAATAAAGTCTCAGGGAGTCTTGTGTGCTTTAGAGCCATGTAAGGAATGGTAATTCTAACAGTGATGACCTATGCATTCAATGTTCTTCACTACTTTTTAGGTCACTTAATCCTCACAAAAACCATAGGAATACATTTCTATTTCCACTTCACACTATTTCACAGTGTGTATGGCTTTTTGAAGAAATTTAAGGGTATTCCATGCCCACTAAAAACTGCAATGCCACTCAAGCAAACATCCTTGTGACATAGCCACAGTTGGTGTCATACATCGCAAGTAAACAGAAAAGTATCTTCTGCAAAACTTTTACCAAATTAGGTCTCAAACAAGCAGTCAACGAATGTTTTTTTCCTGGCAAGATGATTTTTAAGTGTAATTAGTATTTACAGCTAAAAACCATTCAGACTTCACTGTCCAAATTGACCACACACCTTAACCTTTGAAGACAAAATAAATCCTTGACTATGACTAAAGATTCAGTAAAGCAAATTTTAATCTCTGGGTTTCAAATCCTTGGCATCACTAATTAAGTGACCTTGGACACTTTAGTCTTTCATCTGTGAAATGAGTATTGGCCTCTGGATGAAACATGCAAGCATCTACCCCAGACTCTGACACCATTAGTACACTACACACTTAACAAGCAAGTAGAAGAGACTGACTAACCTAATTCTACAATTCACCCCAAAACATGAAAATATTTCTAAGTGCCATTATGTTTGCTGGAGAAGAGCACACTTCTATTACCCTGTTAAGTTTCTGATGGCACTCATTAATGAAATAAGGTGATAACCACATAAAATGTGTCTACTTAGAAATATTTTATTCGAAAGATCACCTGAATACAATTTCAGCTCCTATTTTCTTACAAGACATGTTATAGGGGTTAAGTCTGTGTGAGTCTGAAAGGTACTGGTGATATTTGTGATTTTTTGCAGCAGTTTGATTGACTCAAACTGCCCTCATGAATGTACCTTGTTTTCCATGTGTGCTCCTGTAGAACTACCAGGGCCACCCAACAAAGCCAGTAATAAAGAAGACTCATTCCAGATGAACACTGTGGCTCATGCTTTAGCAACTTAAGTATTTACTAACATTAAATACTTGGTGTTTCAAACCTAAAACTTGTCAACTATTTCTGTTTGAAAAACAACAGGCCGAGTGGTGGTGTCACACGCCTTTAATCTCAGCACTTGGGAGGCAGAGGCAGGTGGATTTCTGAGTTTGAGGCCACCCTGGTCTACAGAGTGAGTTCCAGGACAGCCAGGGCTATATAGAGAAACCCTGTCTCGAAAAAACCAAAAAAAAACAAAACAAAACAAAACATAACCGAGACGGGAATATCATTCATATATATATATGTGTGTGTGTGTGTGTATAATTTGTCTCAATTCCTGTCAATGAAATTAACTAAACCTCTCATTGCTAATGAATTCTCTACTTTCAAAAAAATTAATTATCAATCTTCTAGGAACTTGTTTTAGCATACATCCAGAATCATTTTTATAATTAATGCATTGATACTTTTGCAAATACACCTAGTTCACTTATAACATAAAAACGCTTATAACATAAAATTGTAACTAAACTTTTCTATATCTATGAATAAATATCAAAACTGTAGTCTAAAATATGTATATTATCTACTTGTGTTTGAAACTGGAAGAGGATACACTGAATAGTTATCTTTTCTAAATCTAAGACACACTAGGGGTGGAGCTTCTATACATAATAATTGTTCTGCAATGAAATCATTCCAATAATGTCACTATCACCAAGTATATACAATAGTACATGGTTCTTTAAATGTCACCATTTATAAGTTATGTTCATTTCACTGTAATATAACTGTTTTCTTTTCCCTAGACCCAGTATTATAATTAATTGTACCATCTGACCACAACCTATGAGAACCTGTGTGTATACCACAATATTTTCATGCAAAAGTTTGTATCAAACACTTAAGGTCATCAGCACAAGAGGTCAGAACAGCAGTTCTCAACCCCAGGGCTTGCAATCTCTGAGAGTCAAAGGACCCTTTCACAGGGGTCGCCTAAGACTACAGATATTTACCTTGCAATTCATAACAGTACCAGAATGATAGTTATAAAGTAGCAACAAAAATAATTTTAAGGCTGGGGGTCACCACAACATGAGGAACTATATTAAAGGGTCACAGCCTTGGGAAGGTTGTGAAGCACTAATTCGGTGGATAAAGATGTTTGCTTGCTCTCAAACCTGAGAACCTGAATACCACTTCCTGAATCCACATGACAGAGGGAGAAAACAGACTCTTACAAGTTGTCCTCTGCTTTCTCAATGGGTTAGATGGCATACACAGCGTATGCACACACACACACACACAGCATACGCATACATACACACACACACACCAAATAAATGCAATTCTTATTTTTTATAAAATGTAGTATAAAATTACTTTTAAGCAAGAAAATCACTTCAGCTTTTAAATTTTTTTGAAGTATCGTTAAGTTACCTAAGTAAGATAGAGATATGTATGATGATAGATGCTTCCAAAAATACACAGGACAAACTGAACAATCACGACTTGAAAACTAAAGCGCTCTCCTTGAATTTCATTTAGTGAGTGCTGTTCAGGCTTCCTGCCTCCCAAGCGATTTCATTTGTTCAATTCAAATTTTAATAGTTTCTCAAACACACAAATCAACCTGGCTCTCTCTACCTTATGTATGGAGAATAAAGACCTTGCCTTTAAAAAACAAAAAGTCACCTTAGAAATATTCTTTGAGCAATACTTGTCTCACCTGCAACATGTTAACATTAAAAGGCCTCTGCTGTATTACACACACACTTTCCCAAGCCGGACGTTTCACTCAAGCTGTGTCTGGGAAACTGAAAGTACTGGCTAAAGCTGCCTAAACGGCCTCATCAAGTTTTACACACTCCTGATTGACATCTCAGAAGGTCCACTGGCGTTGTTTTTGTGGGATCATAGCCCACTGCTGATGCCCACTGCACCGAGAAGGTAGCAGCAATCTGAGGCTGTGGCTTTCGCAGGATAACTGCAAGCATCCAACAGCTTCTCATGTAAATAGCCAAATAGTAGGGGGTGGGCTTTCACAGCTGCAAACACAAACAGTAACGGGCATGCCGATTTCCTTCTAGCAACACCAGTACATGTGCAAGTTCTGCATCACGGCTTGGAGAAAAGTAGCTGATTGACGCATTGATGGAAAAGGCTATTTTAAAATTACTCAAAGAGTCTAAAGCATCAGTCTGACTGAGAGGCTTTTGCCTCCTTTTCATACACACACGGTCTGTTTTCCAGCCTAATTTAAGAATGAATCGCTGACACCTCCAGGTGCAATACCCTGAGGAGAGAACGTACCCATCACAATCCTCAAAAGGGGTGTACATAACACCACCACCCCTCACGCCCGCAGTGGGTGCCAGTTCTTACCTTAGCAGATTAGACAGGGGCAGAGGTCCAGATCCACCGCCCAGGATCCCTCCTTTCCTGCCAGATAGGAGTTTCTCCACCAGAGCCACATTGCCAGTACGAGCAGCTTCCAGCAGCTCCTGGTCCTTCCCCATAGTCTCTCACCGAGTCTGCTACAGAGTCCTTTCCCTGCTCCAGTCCTCCTCCAGGTCCACTCCCCAAAAGCCAGGGCCCTCCCCGCCCCACCCTAAAAGGATGCCCGGGCTTCAGCACGCTGAGATTCCCTGCAGCCCCGCGCAGGGAGCAGCACGCCGTCCTCCTCCTCCCGGTTCAGCTTCTACAATGGGGAGCAGCCCGTGTTTGGGCAGAGGGGCTGGCCAAGCGGCGACGCGCCCCCACAGCCACTCCCCTGCATTCCCGAGGCCTCCTTCCCGCGGGTGGGGTGCGAGCGGGTGGGGACCGGGCCCGGGCGCAGCCGAGGAACGGAAGGAGGATGCACTGAGCAGGATGCTCCGGCGCTGACAGTAGGATGCTGAGCACCGGGGAGGATGCTCCAGCACTGAAGAGCACACGGAGCGCTGAGGCTGAGGAGAAGCGAGTCCAGCGCGTCCTCCCCGGAGCTAGAGGGTATCGAACCACGGCGGCGACGGCCCGTGCGTACGAGCGCCCAGCCTGGACCCGCCTGGGTTCCGCGCCCGGGGGACTCGCGCTTATACAGCTGCGATGGCCGCGGCCCGCGGCTGGAAGAAGCACGGTGGCCGCGGCTGGGACGGCTGCGGCCCGCGCCGAGGCTGGGGCTGTGCGGGCGAGCCGCAGCGGGTGCGTGCGGAGGGCGGCGGCGGCTCGGAGGCTCGGCGCGGGGGGCGTGTGCGCGCGGCAGGTGCGGCCCGAGGCCGGCCGTGGGGCGGGCTGGGGTGGGGGGGAGCGGTGGTAAGTGCAGCTCTGTGCCAGTGGGCGGGGCCGTCCTTGCTCCCTCCTCCGTGCTCCCTCCGCCTTCCTCCCTCCTCCCCTGCTCTTTGCTCCCTCTCCCTCCTCTCTCTTCTCCCCCACCCCCCACCCCGCTTCTGCTCACTTCTCCCGTCTCCTCTGAAGAGGTTTAACTGTGTGAGTACTGGCGATCACCCCGCTAGCTGCTGAGGCGTCTTCTCTGCCTGGAGCCCAGAGTCAGTAACTAGACTTGGGGAAGGTCTTCCACTAGGAAGTGATGGAGAACCTGATGCCAGGAAGAAGCGCTTTTGCTGGTGTTTCTGTCCCAGTCCAGGGGACTTGAAGGATATTTCATCCTCTTGCTTTTACCTCTCTGGTGAGAGTCTGAGATGTCCGCCCTTGGAAGAGGCTGAAGAGGTTTGTTTTATCCTAGTTTCTGAACCACTGAATGCCTTGTGACTTTTGCAGGGTTTTTTTGGGGTCTTTAATCACCCTGAATTTTACTTGGGCTTTGGAGAGCTGCTGACTTGTGCAAATATCAGAAAAACCAAAGTGGGGGGGTCTCATTGGAAATTCTTCCACATCCACCCTAGGAAAAGTATAAATGGGCATGGATGAGAGAGCCGCTTTGATTTGCATATTTCATCAGCAGTTCATTGTGTAGGGCTGGCTTGATTTTGGTTGAATGTTTTCCTTGCTCCTGGCAGAGAACGCGTGCCTATTTTCTTTTGAAACTTCCTGTGACAGCTTGTGGTCAGTTGGTAGGAAAAGATGTGCTTATCGGTTTGCTTACAACAACCCAGTGAACTGGATATTATTACTATATATTACTTTAGAACTAAAGTAGAGGTCCAGAAAGGGAAAAGATGCCACACGGTCATTGGCTAACAAACTGGACCTGGGAGCTGGTGTAAGATGGCTCTGGTAAAAGTGCTTCTGCCCAGTCGGAGGTCCTGAGTTCAGTCTCCCCAGCTCTCAGAGTAAAAGGAGAGAAATAGCTCCCACCAGTTGTCCTCTGGCCTACACACACACACACACACACACACACACACCTGTGTATTTCCATTAAATAAATAAATAAATAAATAAATAAATAGTTAGAGAGATAGCTCTACAGTTAAGAGTATTTCCTGCTCTTGCAGAGAATCAGAGTTCAGTTCCTGACACCCATATCAAGTGGCTGACAACTTCATGTAACTCCAGATGTAAGGAACCCAACTCAAATGGCCTCCACAGGGCCTGCACTTATGTACACATACCCACACACACACACACATGCACACAGACAATTAGAAATAAATCTTTAAAATAAATCACTAATAAATGGAAAAAATTAATATCTGGATCCTAGAACTGGTTTAATTCAGATCCCAACCTCAGTGTCCACTGAATAACAAATTACACAGCAGTTAATGCTTACAAACATTTGATGAGCAGTTACCACATGCCAGAAGCCATATGTACTAAATGCTTTCTATATTTTTGTTTCAACACTCAACAAAATCTCTGCAGACCCTGAGACTATCATGTGTGCCTTTTGTTTTTCTGTGGGGGCAGAGGTACCTCTTTTATCCTTAGTGTACACATGAGGATACTGACGAGCTCAAAGTCCGAGCTCAAAGTCCGGCAACTGGAAAGTAAAGCAAGTCAAATCCAGGACTCCCTGCTATCTAGGCCAAGACTTTAAGTAAACAATAGGGAAACTCAAAAGATACAAAGAAAGAAAGAGAGAGAGAGAGAGAGAAAGAGAGAGAGAGAGAGAGAAAGGGAGGAAGGGAGGGAGGGAGGGAGGGAGGGAGGAAGGAAGGAAGGAAGGAAGGAAGGAAGGAAGGAAGGGAGGGAGGGAAAAAGGTAGATAGAATAATTTAAAGTGTTTTTCTGTAGCTCAGTATTCTAAGATTTTATTTCAGTGGCTCAGAGCATCAGGTAAATTTGTAGCTTCTCCTTGCAGGATCCCCAGAGGGCATAGAGTTTGACTGTCTGATGTTTTGGTTTTGCTTTTCATTTTAAAATCTATTTTAATGAGAAGATGATATATGACCCCTGACATAACAGGCCTAGCAGAGCAGTTCGTGAAGTAAGAAATGAGTAGTCATGAATTCATTTTGCGCAAGAAAATTCTTTTTCTTCTTTACTACTGTTGCCTCCTAAACAAAACAAACTTTTCCCAGAATATCCTGTAAGTACTCAGATGAGCAAAGCTAAAATATCAACCAATAAAGAATCACGGATGAGTTCATGATTGGGGGCTCCTGAGTCGTCCTTATTAAAATCATGCAACTTCCAGAGAGAGAAAACCATTAAAAATGATTTGCACTAAGAATCAATTCCAAGTTCCAGACACTCTGCTGACATAATATTCAAAGGCAATTTTCTACTCTACACTTTTTATTTTAGATAGTTTCTAAACTTCCTGTTGAAGAGGACAAAGGCTTTCACTGAATGAGAATAAGCTCACAAATTAAAAGAGAAAACATTTATTCCAAAAACCCAAAGAGGCTAGATATCCAGAATGTTTTATAAGTGTCCATATTTAATCAAACATTTTTGCATCTGTGAGCAGTAGAAAGAAGCATTAAATCTTGAGAGCCAACTAGTCAATCTGGATCTCAATTTGTTAGATAAAAGTTTGGAATTCATCTCTAGTGGGCTTCCCCATCCTAACAATGTATTCTTGTGGTGAAATACAGAGATTCTCATTTTATCCTGATTTTAGGACTAGGAGGTAGATATAATTGCTGTAAAAAAAAAAAAAATGTAGTCCTTACTTCTTTTAAATCCCTCATTTTAAATTATGGTATACAAAAATGTAATTATAAATAATTTTGAGCAAGTCAAGGAGTGTGTGTGTGTGTGTGTGTGTGTGTGTAATGACACTCTTGTTGGGTTCACTAAATGGAGCTGAAAATAAAAATGGGAAGAAAAACAAAGACAAAGCAGGTAGACATGTATTCATAAAATGTAAATAAGTAAAACCTTTGAAAACATAAGACAATGAAGTATCTTGAACCTAGATAGCTTAGAACGATATCCCTTGCTCTATTGGTCTGTTTGCAGTAAGGAAAAGGAAAAACTACTGTCTTAAAATATGTTACCAAATAAGGCTTAGGTTCTCGATCTCCCTAATGCTACGACCCTTTGAGACAATTTCTTATGTTTTTGATGTCCGAAAACCATGAAATTATTTTCCCTGATTCTTCATAACTGTGATTTTGCTACTGTTATGAACCTTAATGTAAATATCTGTGTTTTCCAATGTCAACCCACCGAGGGAGATGGGCCATAGGGTGAGAACCATTGAACTAAAGCATGGCGATTTGAATTGAGAAATGCCCCCCTAGTCTCCTGTAACACTTGGTCTGCAGTTAGTGATGCTGTCTGGGAAGGTTATAGAGCCTTTAAGAGGCAGAGCCTGGCTGGAGGAAGTACATCACTGGAGGCCGACTTGGAGGTTTTATAGTCTGGCGTCACTTCCTTTTCTTTCTCGCTGCTTCCTGTTTGTGGCTGACATGTGATCTCTTCACTTCCTGGCTTTGAGACCAGTTTCCGGCTCATGCTGCCATGCCCTCTCTGCCGTCACGGACTGACTGTACCTCTTCTGAAACTTTAAGCTAAAATAAACCCCTTTCTTCCCTAACTTGCTGTCTGTCATAGTACTTTACCACTAAACAGAAAGGTAACTAATATATAAACGAAGCTAGGATAACACTGTAACTTGGATGAAGCAGGAAAATGCTTCCTTCTCCCATTTCAGGCCTATCTCTGGGGCTGATGGTTTATGAGGCAGATGTGAACAAATCCTAAATACAGAATATAAGGATGCTAGAACCCTGAGTAAGAGACCAGGGGTTTTATTCCTATGTTACATTTAATTTCTTTCCATAGCCCCTGTCCCAAAACCTATTCCTCACTATCTTGGAGGGGTGGCCAAAGAATAAGCACACCACAAGATGTACAGTGTTCATGAAAATTTACAGTCCAGGGGCATTGAAGACCATGAGCTGATAATCACTCAGTCCTGTTCAAATGCAAGAAACCAAATGAGTATGCCGTATGCATATCATCTTTATTGCTAATTCAGATGAGTTCTAACAGTATACAAAGTACAGAGATCTCTACTAAAGTTATGACAGTAATGAGTCACCCACCCTAGTGACAGGCCTGCAAAGGGGGAAGGGGACACTTCTTTGCTTCATCCAAGCTACAGTATTATCCTAGCTTCATTTAT